ACCAAACCCCCCCCTACCTGGAAAGTTTGGGGGTTTTAAAAAAAAAAAAAAAAAAAAAAAAAAACTAAACCAGATTTACAGACATCCACTTGGTAGATGTTTCAAGTGTTTTTTTTTTAAGGTTTTCAAACCACCCTACTTTATGATCGATTTAACAGCCACTTGGAACAGTTGGCTGAACCGTGGCTCTCTTTGGTACTTGTCAGAATCAATATCCTGTTGCTCACTTCGACATGAGAGAACGCTACGTTAAGAGTTGAGAGAACAGTCGGAACTAGCGTTCAGCAAGCAGAGAAAACGCAACACTAGCTGGAGACAACAGCAACGGGGTAATCTGCGATACGACCTCTTCGAGAAGACATCAAATTGTTTTCCTTCATCCCGACTTCCTCCTGTTTTCAGCCAATCAGCGCCGCTTACAGCTCTCAATATAACTCTCAGTTTTCACGGCACTAATCCCGGGGTTCTTATCCGTCACTGCTGAATTAGACACCACGTTACGCTAGTAAAAACCTCTTCAATTTATTCGACACATACATTCATAAATGTTTTGTTTTTTTTTGCCGACAAGCTAACGCGATTAACAAAAAGCCAACGTTAGCTTGACACCTAAATGTGTAGCTAACCGCAGGCTAAAATGGTACAACGAGCTGTCATCCTGACTAAGTTGTTATAGTGGAGTTAAATTAGGATTTAAGACAAAAGCTTGACCAATTGGGTTCGTTTTATGTTTGCTTTGACCGACTACCTTGACGTAGCTACACGTACTAGCAGCTGAAGGCTAATCTCCAGTGGGCTAACAGGGTTTAGCTTCAACAGCTGTTTGTTTACATTGGTTGCTGACGAAAGACAGCTTTTTGATTTTTCACCGAACGTCCGGTTGGAGTTCCTTATGAATACATGCGCCTCGCATGCTACATTAAATTATCGATACCACGTCAATGTTTATCGTTCTTTGTACTGTAGTCCTGTGTGTCACGGTAAAAAAGCCGCTGTTTCCCTCCGTCGGCTCTGCTGCAGAAAACCTGCCGAGTCACTCAGATACAGTCCTGTCACACTGACACCGGCTGTCCTGCGTCCCTCACATCGCACATGACACCGGGATCCCACAAATATTGTCTTTTTAGTCCAGCCTCTAGCTCTCGGGAGTTTATCAGTCTACCGGGGGGGAAGATGGCTCACTTCTGTTACAGCTCCTCCTTCATCAGCTGATCACAGCTTCCGGTTTCCAACTCAATACATACGCTCACAAATACAGCGTGTTTTTGTGAGTGCTCCAAATAGATATGGTGCATTCCCTGGTGTTATTTTTTAGAGAGCCACAACTTTAGCGTTATGTTTGGACAACAGTTCCTGTTAAATCATTGTTGCTCAAGTAAATTACAATAATTTCCGATGAGTTTGGTTTGTACTTTATTACCTGTAAAACCTAGAACTCTGCGCATTGCCCTTTGTCCTTGATAATCGGTACCAGTTCACACTTACTCCATTCATCAGGCACTAACTTTTTTTTAACCACCATCCCCCCAAAACGTCCTCAATTTGAGTCTTTTCAAAATTAATGCATGTTGTCAGCTCCTGGTCCTTTGCTGAAGCTGCTCAAAAAAAGCAGGAACCAATGGCTGTAATGGACATGCGACATGCTGTGTCACTGCTATATGTTGAGCCAAGGTTCATGCCATTAATCTTCAGAAGATCTATGAACATGGGGAACATGTTGGAAGGTTTAAAGCATTTTACAATGACTTGAGTGCCATTATGACTTGAGAAGAAAACGATAGAAACGAAAACAAATGATGAAACTGATATTAACACTTAGCTCCTAATTCAGGCTAAAATGCTAAAATTCTTTCAGTTTTGTCTATGCCATCTATTTGGGAAAATGCAGGCATTGCAGAGGAAAGGCAGAAATATAATGAAAATAGAAATTAATAACATCATTCGGAAAAGTTTTAGTTTCAAATTCAGCACATGAACCAGTCTTTCTGCTTTTAGTTGGCGCTACAGAGAATTAAAAATGAAGTAAGTGACCCACTGAATTTAATACATTTTATAATATTATTTCTAGGTCTGAATATTAATTACACCACAAGACGCAGATTAAACAGTTGACCGCCACTCTACCTATAACACGTCACACATCACCTCATTTAATACCTATAACACGTCACACATCACCTCACCTCATCACCACGAAAGAAAATGGATTTGGTCAATCTGTATTTAACTCCAAGAGTTAGCTCTCTTGCTAATTTAGCTTATTGTAAAGTTGACGGTATGAGCCCCGACGTCAGTGTTTATTGCATTTCTAGAAATATTTTCAGGGGGAAACGTGAGCAAGTTCAACATATTTTGTGCCCATTTAGGGTGAAAGTGTAATTTTAAGTAGTTTATCATTTTTGTTAGCGAGGGCCAGTTACAGGTAACATCAAAGGGAACGGCGACACCTGGACAAATTAACCGGAAAGAAAACTCACGTACACTCGACGACAGCGCAAAGACTTCCGCACAATCGATTTTTAAAAGCAAGCTGTAACCATCAAGTCATGACACTGTAACGCAGACGCTGTCAATTGTATTAGTTTTACGACCTGGACGGTGCTCATGGTTATTCTACTTCACGTCCAGGAGGTGGCAGTGTTGCTACGCTCTAGTGGTGATCTACTGCAGGTAAAATTGAGAAAATGTTTCCGTTTTCTTAAATACTTGTTTTTTTAAATAAAAAATATAGACATTTATTTAAGAGATGTGACAGTATATGAGTAGTATTTTAGAGGTAGAATAAAAATATTCAACTGCAAATAAACTGTATTATATTCAAGGAATACATACCACACATTGGTCAGACTTTCTCCTCTTTACGTAAATAAACAACATTGACATTTTCCAATCTTAAAAAAGAGTCTAGTTTTTTTTAGGTACTTCAGTTGATGTTCGCTTTCGAATTAGTATATTACTTCTTTGCAGGAACAAATATAATTTGCTATATATGAGATAAATACATATATATAATATATATATAAATTTACTAAATATCTCAAAAGAAAAAGTGGATGGGATTTGCAAAATATGATGTTTTCAGGAAAAGGAAAAAAGAAACTAAAGAATTTGAAACTGTCGAAATGTGTCTGGAGTAGAATTTGAAACTGTCGAAATGTGTCTGTCGAAAATGAGTTTGAGGTTTGAAACAAACACGCGTTGACAATATAAATTGTCGTTGTCCAAGCAGTCTCGGGTCTTTAAAAGCATGCTAATCTTCATTTACCGTCCATCAGTTTTTGAAGTGAAAAGAGAATTAACGTGATTAACAATTAAACCATATTAGGCAACTTCAAATTTGTCAGGTAATAAACACTTGCAGCAAACTCTTCATTATTGCTGCATTATTACTGTCACTTAAACAGGGGAAACAAGAGAAAAGGACACTCCACCACATGTCCAACATGAAAAGTTCTTCCTGCTCTCAAAAGCGGCAGCAACGGCCTGTCAGGATGAAGGAGAGGATAAATATTACCCACATTCATGTTGAAAGACTTCAGGCTCTATTTGTTGCAAACACAAATCATTTGTAAATTGCACGGTGAGATCAGCGCTTTCTTCTGCTCGTTTGGATACGGACAAACTCTTGTCTAACGTGTCACATATATCTGTAATTCCAAAAAGGCTGGCACACGCGTGCGGGTCCCATTAATCTGTCTGTGGCCTTTAGTTGACTTATGAAGTCCTGATTGCGCATCATTGTTTGGCTTCATTTATTCGAACACACACCCCGTAATCAGGCTTGCAAATATACGGCTACAGAAAAAAAAAAGAGAAGCCAGCTTTCATTTTCATCACAGCATTGATAATATACATTTGAAATCACTCTGACTCGCCTTGAACTCAGCCATCAGTGCACTCAACAATACCAATCAGAAGAAGAACAAAATAGCTTTCAGCTCCGAAGCTTCAAGCGTGACTACATTAATAATATTAATAAAACGCCATATTGAATGCCCCGGGGCTCAGAGGTGGGTGCGGAAAGTGTCTCAAAATCCGCCAAAGACATCTGCCTTTGTCTCTGCCTTTTCTCTTTTCATTATTGGCTCATTAAAAGTGACGGCTAACGACAAAACAGAGGTCTAATTCCTATCATTTTGTGCATTTGTCAGAGGAGAATTTTCAGTGTTGCTCGCTTTCTCTCAGACATCTTGGGGCTAGCAGCTTTGAGGGTGGTATTGTTGCTCACAAAGCGTTTAAATAGAGGTCACGGATCATCTGGATATACTTGGAGGACACCAGAGAAATGGCAAACTAAGGCCCGGGGGCCGGATTCTGCCCGTTCAGCTCTTTACTCCGGTCCGTCAAACCTTTCCAAATTATATAATTTATCATTGTACGTCTGCCTTTTACCTGCAATACTCACCTTTCCCTATGATATAGCACACATACCAGAAATATTACAAATTACTACCAGCTCTAATACACATTTGATATGATCTCGTGTAATGTAATTACCTTGAGGGGCCAAATCTGGCCCGTGGCCTGAGATTGATACGTGATTTAAACCACGGCTGCCAAACTTCAGAAAAAAAGATTTAAACCACGGCTGCCAAACTTCAGTAACATTTTTTAAAAATATATTATATACTGTATATATTCATATTTATATGTACAGTATATATGTACATATATGATCTATAACTATATAAACATATAAATGGGTATATACATTTGTATATATCTACCGCATATTTATATGCATATATGTAGATATATAGATAAATAACTATATAAACATATACATGGGTGTATATATTTGTATATACTGTATATACCTATATCTATATACATACATATGTATATATATATTCACCTGTCTTCTCCTGTCTGTTTGCAGTAGGCGAAATCCGTCAAGTAACTTGGTGTCTGGGTGTAAAATCCAACACGGACGCGTGTGTGTTTTTTTTTTTTTTAAATACATCCATTTTATTGTTGACAGTAAAACAAAAATAACTGTGCAGATATTGCAAAAACAAATAGACGTTATAGTGACCGAAGATAAAAAAAAAACAAAACAAAACAACTAATACTTGAAATCATTAAGTGTACATTGTGTTACGTTCCACGGTAGCTAACTACAAGCTCAATCACTTTAGCTGTTTTTCCCTTTATTTTCGTATATATATTTGCATGTAGTGTTTGCCATATATGATATTTGCAGAGCTGAAATAATCTCCTAATCACCGTAAGGCCAGTCAGCTGTAGTTATTCTTGTTTAACACTGTCACTTAAAGCATAAAGCAGCTACATAACAGTTTCCTTCCAATATTATATATATATATATATATATATATTTATTTAAGACAATGCAGAAATGTGTGAAATGTAAATATTTAAACAAAGGAAAAAAAAAAAAATCACAATCTTTCCACGGGACATACGGATATGTCTACAGTCGATGTTTATAATGTTAGTTACCAGTATAGTAGGTGAAGGTGCCGGCTGCTGTTGCAGTTGTGTCTCTTATTTACATCAGCTGAGAAAGCGGGAAGGCATAACAAACACAGTCGAGCCGAGTCTTCAGCTGCGTACAAGTTACGGAGGAGACGTTATTCGGTTATCATCATAATCATTGTCATCATTGTCGTCATTATCATCACGAGCGGTGAACTCAAGACTTTGTGCACTAGTTACAACGTTGCCGTAAGTGACACGCATGCGAAACGTGCATTGCGGTGAGCGCCCCCGAAACGGCGGTTCTGCGTCTTAAGCTGGTGCGACCTATCACACAAACACAGAGAGATGAGCTGGAATTCACATTTCAAATTTACGAAAACACAAAGACTGTAAACGGGTGGAGATCTGCAGAACTTGGGCTGAGCGAGGTTGTTTTTTTTTTCAAGAGTATATATGTATATGTATATATATATATGGCCATGGGTGTACAAAGTCCAAGTGTGGCTGCCCAAAGTGGAAGCACAGCATTTACACAAACCACAAGCGAACTTTAACACTGAAGCAGCAGTGAACGGCCTCAGTCTACGTTGAAAACATTTATTTGGAATCACGGTTAGTCAGAACGTCCGACGGGCCGATGAAGCGTTTTGATGAGCGTTTTTCATTGACAAAAACTACAATATTGGCCACCAGAATCATGTGTTGCATCTAACAGGACCACATGTAATCACTAAATTAAAGTAATGTTGCAAGGCAGATGTCATCTGTAGGCTGAACAAAACAAAATACAAAATCCTTTTTTTGGGGGGGGGGTTATTTGATATATATTTTTTAAATCTAATCTTTAAATAAGCCCTTTCTGTAGAACGGTTTCAGTATTCACAACATTCATAACATGTATATTTTTATCTTTACAAACCACTGCGTGAGTTGCTGCCACCTAGTGACTGGAGGCTTGTTATCATTCAAGTATTACAGCAGTGGTCCAGTGTGTCCATATTCCATTGGAAGCCCATCATGCCCCCTTCCTCCCGGCACCTCACCGCGCCCCCCCGGAGGGGCCTCGCCCCACTGTTTGAGAAGTACTGCTGTGCAATGACAAATACAATTAATGGATTAAGAATAATAATTTCTGTTCCTTCTAACGGTCAGCAGGGGTCTGTAGAAACAAGGACTCGGTGACGTCCTTCTAATCCGCCTGAGGAACAGGACGACATTCAGATGTGGCCAATAATCACTTTTCATCATCAGCGCAATTCTTAGTGATTACAGAGGGAACGTCACATTATATTCAAACCCCCCCCCCCGATTCTAAATCGGCTGTTAACGTCCGCGTGAACGCGATGCTAGTCTTAACTTATTATTATATTTATTCGCATACTCCACTGATCCAAGACTTAAACCTTCAAAAGGTCATCTGAAAAAAAAATGCTGCTCCATTCATATTCATGAGCAGCTTAGACAAAGACAGGGCCACCCCTAAGAAATGGGTGGCTTCGGTTCAGTCGGGCGGAATGTGTTTAGGCGGCGATTATGAATTAAATGCTGATAGATAGAAATTCCTTCCTTTGACGTGGCAGCGGAGGTTTTGCCTGAAAGATGACCAGACACATTCAGGTAAAGTTATTATCTCCAAATGAAAGAAGACTATTTCGCTCGAACAAGGACAGATTATAATACTCATAATACTGTCTGTTTGCACACAAAAAAAAAAAACAGGTGATGAACCTGCCCTTGTCCTTAAATGCTACATCTAGAGAGGAAAAAAAAAAAGACCCACACACGTACAATGGTGATTTTTCGAGCTGCAGAAACGATGCTAAAAAATCTGTACAATATTTAAACACTGTATTTACAGAAATAAACACGCTTTCTTGCTTCGGCCTTAAGGAATTCTACCTCGCCTACCTCGCATTAAAATTCCAGTCCTGTATTCAGTCTGTTCACATCTAATAGTCAAAGGCAAATTGAAAAAAAAAAAAACGTACACTTCATAATCACCGAACAAAAGGCAAACCTGATCTATAGCTTCCTGATCGCTCCCTTGGTCGTCCCTTATGTATGAGCGTTCTCGCGAAAAAACCAGGAGACTACTTCACCATACTTCGTGTGCTGTGGGGGTCTACTACGCAGTTCCATAGCTGTGGTACCATTCACACTAGAGCAGTGGTTCTTGATTTTTTTCTGTCATGCCCCCCCCCTTGGGGACAGAAATGTTTTCACGCCCCCATCATCGCCCTACGCCGCCACGAATTGAAATGATACTATTGAGAACCCGATAACATGTATATTTTTTAATCTGTACAAACCGCTGTATGAGTTGCTGCCCCCTAGTGACTGAAGGCTTGTTCACTGTTCAAGCGGCAACACTTTTTTCCCCATTCGAAGCCTCTCACGAACCCAACCCTTCCCGCCATCTCATGGCACCCAGTTTGGCCAGCCTTTTTTTCAATCTGCAGTGGCTCAACATAATACGCCAAAAATGGAACAGGTTGACCTTCAAAATCACCAAAATCACGTTATCTGCACCGACCATTTGATGGTCTAAGCCAAGCGTGGGCAAACGTTTTGATTCGTGGTCCTAAAATTGAACGGGGGGGGGCGGGTCAGGAGCAGAATGATAGATAGATTACATGTAAAACTCATGCCTAAAGGATAATTAGCTAAAATGCTTTTATCATTTTCTACGCCATCTACTGGGGAAACATGGGTATTGCAGGGAAAAGGCAGAAGCGTTATGATATTATAAATTATATCATTTGGAAAAGTTTGGCGGGCCGGATTAAAAAGCTGAACGGGCCGCATCCGGCCCCCGGGCCTTAGTTTGCCCATGCCTGGTCTAAGCTTAGTTTGGTAAAAAAATACTGTGCGTTCCGTTTACCACTGGGGGGGGGGGCATGGCAGAAAACAACTAAGAACCACTGCATTACGCCAAGTGTTTCCATCTTTGGCAGCATAGTCAAAAATAACAACTCAAACCAGGTTATATCTTGATCAATGTTCCCGTGAACCAGTCGTTGAAATGAGAACAAAAATTGATCTCACAGTGAGAAAGCACACTCAACTGTTGGAGTTCAAGTGCTCAGGGTCAAGGTCGGAAGGACACTACTACCGTTTATCTCTAACAACCACGGCCTGAAATGACGAGTTTGGAACGAGTATCACGCCAAGGAATACCAGGGTGAAGTATCAGGCCACAGCGCCACAGTATGGAAATGTTCCAATGAAACCGACCCTTTATGGATGAGCTAACTCCATCTTTAAATCTGCAGTAAACTACAACTACTTATGGCTTGCGAAAAAGAAAAAAAAAAAAAAACGTACATGAATAATCATGTTTAGCTGCATCATGCAAAACCTTTTTTTTAGTCAGGAAACTTTTTAGATATTGAGAAAAAAAACAACAAAAAAAAAAACGCAGTGAAAATCAGCATTACTACTTAAATACTACAGTCAGCTGTGCAAATACTACGGACGTTGTCAGCCAATAAGCTACCAGGACAGCGTAAGTGAATGCTACAGTTGAATGTCAGCCCGCATTTAGGTTAAAGTTTGGCATTTTCATTTAAATGATTAAAAGACGGACGATAATCTTTTCAGTTAATCTCCAGCATATTAATGTGTATATGTATATATATATATATATATTTGTGTGTATATATTGTATGTCAATGTGTGTTTGAGCGGTATTTTCCCCACTTCTCCCAAAGATTTTGCAATATTAGCATGTCGCCCCCTAGTGACTCAGGAAGTCTATACTAGCTTTAACGGTGCGACCGGTGGACACATCCACAGCCATTGCTCGGATCTCGGTGTCGCCGAACTGCATCAGCGTCTGGATCTCGCGTCGCGGCGACGTGCTTTCCGTTCCACTCACATCCAAACGGAGTGTTCCGCACTTCTTGACACCAGACTCACTGATGAAGCCCACTTTTTCCTTTTCGGAGCAATACACGTGGATGACAATGACCTGCTGGGACGGTTTCGCCGGCGTGTAGCTACGTTTCACCATCTCCCCGAGCGCCACAGACTGATCTGCCGCGATGAAGGTGTCAAAAACGTCAGTGCACCATCGAGTGCCGTCCTTTACCAGCAGCTTCTCGGGTGGATGCTTGCCTTCCACGAAGCGGTTGAGGACACCCACGCCATAGGTAAGGGGCGAGCGGCGGACCTTAATGACGCTGGGGTCAAGGCCAAACAGCACAGCCCCTTTAAGGATGGTGAGGCCGACATCGTGCGGGATGATGATGCGACTGCGGCCCTGCAGCATTTTCTGGACCGCTTGCTGCAGCAATGGAGACTCCGCAAAACCTCCCACCAAGAACAGGAACTTGATATCGTTGACTTCTGGCTTTTCAAAGAGCTCAGCTAAAAAAGAAAGAAAAAAAAAAACGAAAAATCAGACACTTTGTCAACACAAGGACGAAGACTGAACGTAAAATTTAAAATTACAAATCCCTCATCGGTCATTTATTATAAAAAATGTACCGTATTTTCCGGGCTATAAGCCGCTACTTTTTTTTCAAACGTGTTGAACCCTGCGGCTTAAACAATGATGTGGCTAATTTTTGGATTTTTACAGGCTAACGTAGTTCATATTGATAGCGATCAGTGACAGGTCAATGACAGGCTACTGTGTGTTATACTACTGTAATAGCCTGAATGTGCGTATATGGAGCTGTTAAAACTCTATACTGTTTATATACTGTTGTGCCTAGGTGCGCTCAAAAGTCCGGAAATTACGGTCATTTTACTGTCACTGTCGCGTAACAACAAATGTTGAGAGATTTTGTGTAATCAAATAAATTTGATTTCAGACCAACATATTTTTCAAATATTTTTGAAATATTTGATATATATATATATATAAAATGATATAATATAAAATAAATATATATAATAAATAAATGAATATAACAAATAAATAAATAATATTTATATAATAATAAATAATTATTTAATTATTATATTATATTATTTAATTAATAATAAATAAATATAATGATATAATATATAAAAATATATACAAAAATATATAAATACAAATATTTTTCAAATGGCTGGTGTGCCAAAACCAGCCCGCCAGGAGGTTAAAAAAAAAGGTAAAAAAAAGGCACAAACACCCTAATCTTCATGACGACCTTCTTTTACTCTCTTGTACTTCTTTGCATAAAAAAAGGGTAATTATGTTATACTTGTACTGGTCCGCCCCACTCGACATCTAATTAAGGCGCGGTGTGGGCGAACTTTTTGACTCGCAGGCCAGGTCAGGAGCAGATAGATGGAGCGTTTCTGTGAACTAAGATATATGACATGTAAAAGTCATGCGTAAAGGCTAAAATCCTTTTATCATTTTCCACGCCATCTATTGGGGAAATATAATAATATATGATAATAATAATAAATAAATTGGAAAAGTTTGGCGGGCTGGATTAAAAGGCTGAACGGGCCACATCTGGCCCCTGAACCAAAATGCGTTCGACACCCCTAGGTTAGAGTGTTTGCAAGGTAAGAGATAAACCTACTTAGATGTTGAATGATGTGATCTATAGTGGGTTTAAAGAGGGTGTTCATAGCCTCGGGACTCATCCTCAGCATTCCCTGAGACGACCATTTGACAAAATCCACACTGTACAAAAAAAAAAAAAAGAAAAAAAAAAGAGAAGAAGAGAACAACAGTTAGACACAAGCTAGGCACAGGTATTGTGAATATTAGCCTCAAATGATTCTAAGAATACGATTTCTCCAATGTTCTTTTAATGGCACTCTTGATGACTGCAATGATTCGTCTTTTAGTTGACTTTTTTTAAGCCTCACTTCCTCATGTTCCATGCAGATATTACCGTAATTTCCAGACTATTGAGTGCACCTGAATATAAGCCGAACGCATTAAATAAAAATAATAATAAATAAAAAAATAAAATAAAATCCACACTTACTATTGAGTGCACCTGAATATAAGCCGAATGCATTAAATAAAAAAATAAATAAATAAATAAAATCCACACTCATCTATAAGCTGCAGGTGTCCAGGTGTCGTGATATTTACACAGATTTTTTTTTTCACTTTTAATTAGATAAATGTTTTTTTTTTTCGAACAGTGCTTGTAACACTGGTTACATGCTAGCTCTTTCCTGCTTCGGCGCCACGACCGAGTTGGAATGCACAGGGGAGACTTAGTGATCTGCTCCAGGGCCGAAGCTAACATTAGCTCCGGGGCTAACTCCCTTCACTTTGTGCTTGTCCGCAGCAGAGATAAACAGAAACAGGGAAGTTGGGGTCTTTATTATCAGCCACACCGACCACAACAGAACATAAACAGTGTTTTAACAGCAAACAACAACAAACTGCTCTCAACTTTCGCTACCGTGGTCGCTAGCAGTATGAACTTTGTTAGGCCGTAAAAATCCTTTATTGGATCGCTTAAAAGATTTTTGGGATCATTGTTCAAGCCGCAGGGTTCAAAGCATGTGGAAAAAAAGTAGCGACTTATAGTCCGAAAATTACGGTATTCTTTCGTTTTAGTTGCTCAAGTATCACCACTTACATTTGGCGTCCTTCACAGTTTGCCCTGTTGCTTTTAGATTTTAATAATTTAACTCATGATGTTTTATTCAAACCTGAAACCTAATGAGCAGACAAGATTAGCACACTGTCCACATGGAACATTTTTTAATTCAGGGCTCTTCTCACGGCACAGTGAGCAGCAACTGTAGTGGGGGGACGGGGGGGGGCTCTTAAATGGTGGCACAACCTTTCTGACTCCACCATTATAGCACTAAAATGAATCACTTCTTGGGCAACAGTAGAGTCTAGACTGTAATGGTTCTGTGTTTTTTTTTGTGGAAGAATCCTACAGGGAGTGACATCGATAAATATTTCTGTGGCTGTAACTCGAGCTCTCGGTGGCCTCCAGGCTCCTTTCGTCGTCTGACTGGAAGTCGTCAGTGTGTCTCGGTTTGCTGGAAAGACTTGGGTGGGGCAAACATTAACGCTGTCACATATGTGGATAACACACACTGACATGTGCACATCACATCAGAGCGGATCACACCCACGGGAACGTAGCAGACGGACGCTATGGATTCTTTTCACGAGTCAGGATTTGGCAGACAGTGTGGAAGGAAACGGTTTAGGAATAAATCAATGACAAAGCTCCGTTGTTGGTCTCTGCCTTAGATTTTAGATGTGAAAGAGCTAATTGGCTAATACAAAAAATACGAATTCTGTGCAGCGTTGTAAACACTACCACAAGGATTACTATAATTTGGTCTATAAGCCGCCCTACGGCTTAAACAATCATCCCGTAAATCCCGTAAGGATTTTGTACGGGTTAACAAAGTTCATACCGCTAGCAACTCGTAAGGATTTTGTACGGGTTAACAAAGGTCACACCGCTAGCAACTAATGACGTTTGTGGTAGGCTACTGTGTGCTTTACTAGTAGTGTTTGTAGCAAGTTAGCTAACTTGACATCGGCGTCTGTGACGACGGAGTATGCGGCCAAACTTTCCATAATCTGCTCAAGTCTGTCACAGGCATCCGATTCAGACTGTATTTAGCTCGAACTCGCACGATAGTGTCAGCAAGAGCCTTCAACCAACTCATGGATTGCGAATTCAGATTGAATTCTGTTACCTTTATTTGCGGGGACATGAAAAAATGAAAATGCATTTCCCTTTTCGTTTTCTTTTTAGTTGTTTTAACAATATGAGCGGTGTTGAAGAAAAAAAATGAAAATGCTATTCGGATGATTGATTTTTTATTTTATTTATGACTTAATAAAATGCAGGTATATTCTGAAAATGAAAAGTAATTTCTGTGAATGCATTTTAACCCTTTCATGCATGACGGTCACTACAGTGGACAGCTATTAAAATGTCATTTTCTATGATAAGAATAGGTTTTGATGGCAGCAATTTAACAATAGCAATTTAACAAATCGCAATTTAACAATTTAACAAATAGCAATTTAACAAATAGTTTTGATGGCGGCAATATAAGCCTCTACAGTGGACGCCTGAGAATCCACTCAGGGATTTTAATAGCTGTCCACTGTAGTGACCGTCATGCATGAAAGGGTTCATTTGAATGATGGTACCGATTCCTAAAAAGTAACGTCGCTATGTCTTCGCATTAAACGCTCCATAGTCCTGCTCTCTCTCTCGACCTCGACGTATTCCCAAAAGCAACCCAATTATGGTAACGCTGTTATTTTTCTGCCTTCTTCATGTTAAGCATCTCGGCTCAAACATCAATCGGACAGGATTCACTCACTTGCTTTTGCGCAGCGCATGTTCCACACTATGTCCTCTGAACTTCTTGTAGTAGTCGATGAAGGAGAAAGGAAGGTTGATGTTGAGTGGGTTGGTTCGTTCGGGAGCGGCAGCTCTCTTCCGAGACTCAAAAGCAATCATCAGGTCCACCCAGGCGGCGGGCCTCCTTATCTTAAACTGATCGATGAAATCCTGTCCAAAGATCTTACACAGCAGCTTCTCAAATTCATAGTCGATCCCAATCGATCCGTAGGGGCCACCTGGGAAAGGAAGGGACGTGACTGAGACTGAAAAGCGCAAGAGATGTAAAAAAAAACAATGGTGGAAAAATGTGTCCGTTTACCTGATGCTTTATAAAGCTCCTTTAGATGTCCCTCTGGAAGACGGATCTGGTGAACCGTCAGGTCCACCGTTCCCCCACCGCAGTCCACCACTACATAACGGTCACCTGCACAGAGTGGTACCATCATTCAGAGATGCATAAGAGGTGCAAAAAAAAAATCAGATAAAAGATGTGAAACAGCAAACTCATTCACTGTGATTTCAATAAGGAGCCATATGCAGCAAAAATAGATAGAACAGAGACAGAATAAAACAATAGAGACAGAACCTCAGTGAAGGCCTATGGGTGCTAACAAAGGGATATTTATATATATACATTTATAAACCATGCAATATGATTTGATCAAAGCAGAATTAAGTCAAACTGGCTGAGCACATTTGGTGGAGAAACCAGAAGAGAAGGACAGGAAGTGAATTATTTGTCATCGTGACACAGCACACCACTGCGCACCGCGAAATGTGACCTCTGCATTTAAACCCATCACCAAAGTGAGCAAGGGGGGAAGCTTGAGCCCAACTTGGCAGCTGGTGGACTCGAACCTGAAACCTTCCGGACCCAAGTCCCTTTCCTTAACCACCAAGGCACCATTATCCCCAAACAGGAAGGGTTGGAGTGACAGACAGTCAAAAACAATCTGGCACCAAGGTGTGTTTTTGAGTGACCTCGGTAACTGGGACCAATGCCTGGGATTAGTATTATATGAAAATAACTTTCTCGCCTCTACGTCGTGATTTTCCCATTTCACGGAGGATCTTGGAACATAACGGAGGATCTTGGAGCATAACTGCGGCGATAGGAGAGGAAATTACTGCAGTCCATTTTACATGGATTCCTATGGGGAAAAATGGTTTCATTTTCCGAACCTTTCAATGTCAAACGGCATTCAGGAATGAATTTAGTTCAAAAACCGATGATCCACTGTATATTTGGTGTATATCCCTTTCATGCATGACGGTCACTATAGTGGACAACTATTAAAATATCATTTTCTATGATAAGAATAGGTTTTGATGGCAGTGTTGCATATAAGCCTCTACAGTGGATGCCTGAGAATCACCCAACACTGCCATACAGTGGTCAGCCTTTGCAACTGCAAAATAATTGTGTTAACATTCAAAAAGAAAATTTGGTGTTTGGTGTTCTTAATTTTATGTCTAAAAACACATAAAAACAC